CTTTGCTGGCAGTTTTTTATATTTTTACAGTCTTGGGTTTTGGCTCTGCTCCCATCAAAGGCAGTTACTGAGGGGTCACAGTGGGGAAGCGCTGCCCCATCGCTTCCAGCGAGCCTCCTTGCTCGGGACCCCGGTCCTACCTCCTCCCCTCCTGGGACTCCCCATCAAAGGGTGTGAACTGTTTTGGCCAGACCAGTTCAAACCTCCGCTTCCCCCTGTGCACAGCCCTGTTTTTGATGCCTGGCAGCTGAACTGCATTTCTTAAAGCCTCCGGGCTTGGCCAGCTCCAGCACCTCAAATACCTGCGTCTCGAGGAAAGCCATCCCTCAGATGCAGCCCACTCAACACCAAACCTTCTTGGAAAGTCATTACATTCTCTCTCGCCACCTCTTTTCCTGCATCCCTCTAACGGTAAATCTTTCCTGGTTGACTTTTTCCCTGGTTCAGGCTGCAGTCACTGTTCTCCTACATGCTCCGTGCTTGACTCTGTCACCTAATGAGGCTGCGGTCGGGGGGCAGGCTCGCAAGCTTCCAGCTCCGTTAAAAAGGGAGTAGCAAGAAGTGAGCCTGGTTATTAAAGGTGAAAGGAGGCAATTAGAGGGAAAGGCGATCGGGCGATGGAAGAGGGGAGACGCACCGGGTTTTGCTGGGATGGCTGACAAGGCAAAAGTCTCTCAACCATGGGAACGAAGCGAAGGTATTAATCATGCGCTAAAACAATAACTGATGTCTCTGGTCCCCAAGCTGTTGGCTTCCCCCTTCCCCTCTGCCTCCATCCTGCAAAAGAAAATACTAAAAGAAAATCCAGGTGGAGGGAAGCAGCTACCCAGCCAGCTTCTACGGGGGCACTACGTGGTGCTTTCTGTCCTCTTGTTAGCCCTCATCTTGGTGTTACCCCTTGCCATCATGATGCCAAGCAGCGAGCCTGCTCTCCCGTGTGCATCCTTCCATGCCCTGAGTGTCTCCCAGTCGTGCTGGCCCGAACCAGGACACCCGTGCACCACATGCCAGGGAAATAACAGCTTGCTTTTGTCCTCTTCCCAGGTTGGGGCAATCGGCTGCCGTACTTCATAAACTACTTCTTCGACACCTACCTGCTGATCAACGAGGATACTCCTGTGGGTAAGTGGGGCATGCCCGTGGGCAGGGGGTCTGCTCGTGGAAAAGCATTGAAGAAATGCTTTTTTTTTGATTGACAGATGTAGCTTATTTTTCTTTCTTTATTTAGCTAGGGATCGGTTTTTAGTAAATGCAGAAATCGACCCGGTCATTCTCGGCCTCTTTCCAGGCTCTCAGTCCATTAAACCTGTGCTCTTCAATCAGGGCTCGTGACTGGCTTTTAATGTGGGAGGAATCGATTGGGAGCGGAGGGTGGCTGGGATGGAGGCTATGGAGGCCTCTTCTCACATCTACTGCTGCCTTCAACCATGCAGCCCGAGCAGCACCCTCCTTAAAAAAGGGCTCTTGCAGCACCTAAGTCATCGCCGGAGCTGTCAAGGGTTGGAAGACTCTCGAGACATCTCCTCTAGTGACCCAGGCTTCCAGATGAGGCTTCTGTCTCTTCTTGGGGGTCCCCTCAGTTGCATCTTTTGCAGCCCATGGTGTCCCGCTGGTGGGATTTGGGGTGGTGTCTGAGCAAGCAGGCAGGACGTGGGGTCTCGGTTGCAAGTGTTGGCTAGAAGGTGTGGTACCTGAGCTCTGCATGGAGATGGGTCCTCGGGAGAAGGCTTGCTGGAGCTGCAGCCATCTGCCTGGGGAGTTCTGTCTTGCAGTGATGCTCAGGTTTATTTGCGATGTGAAGTAATACCGAAATCTGCTGCTCGGGTGCTTTTACTCACAACATTGCAGAAGGCAAGCTGCGAATAATGTAAGGAAAGGAAAGACCTGACTTCATTGTAATTTTTTTTTTTTTTTTTTTTTCCCTGATGACTTGCATCCATGTCATTTTTCATGGCCTTTCTCAGTGAGCCCGCCCCTTACAGGTCACTTCACCCCTGGTTTATTTGCTCTGCTCTGGGTATGCTCTCTGCCCCTCAATTGCCAGTGTCCCTGCAAACACACTTAGTGCTGGATGTGCCCCGGACAAATCCCAGGGAAGGAAGCACTGTGTGAGAGCAGGAGTGAGAGCTGGTTGGGAACAGCTTAATGGAAATGCTTCCTCACCAAGGACATGGTTCTCGAAGTACTTAAGCTTGAAATACCTTATGGGAGTTGGACTGAACTCCTATTTTGGCAGAAAATGAGGGAAGATTTCTGACAGTCTGCTTTCCAGTGAGAGATTGTGCGAATAAAATTGTTCTTGGAATTACTTTGGGGGGTTGAATTTTATTTTTTTTAAACTTTGTATTGCACTGTACAGAAATGAAATTCACTCTTAAGAATATTGGCACCCTGGGATTTTGTTTCCAGATGCACCAGAGGGAAATGTCAGCCTTGAAAGTGTTGACAAACAGTGTTTCTGTGTTTCCTGCTGTTGGTAGATGTTTTCTGAGTTAGGCTTATTCACTTAAAAAAAGGCATTGTCTGGAAACACCTTTCTTGTATCCTGACTGGGGTGTAAGTAGTAGAACAGTATGTGGCGCCTATTACCCAGAAAAAATGCAGCTCCTTTTTTGAGGACTATTAGAAGCACCCATCACCCTGGTGTGGAGTGAAGGTCCCCACGCAGCCCCCTCCTCCCCTCCCTCAGGCTTTCCCCGGCACAGCCTCACCTAGCACCAAACCAAGCCCTCCCTGATTGCTGCCTGCCATGCCATAAGGAATCTTAAGCAACAATTAAGAGATCATTCCCCCTCTAATCACTTACAAGAGTAAATTAGTCTTGTCAGGAGCTATTAAGACAGAGAGCTCAGAATTCATTAGGCGAGATTGGGCCGAGGGAGCTGCTGGCGCTGCTGCTGGTCCAGGCTGATTAATTTTTCCCAAAACATCATCAATGCCCATCTGTTTCATTTAGGTCCGGGGAGAGCAATTTTCAGGTGGACTGACCCTCTAGTCAGTTATTTCACCCAGAAGTAAATGGAAGCACACAGGCGCGTGTGCACGCACGCGGAGGGAATAGGAGATGTGAGGAAAGGGGTTGAAGGGGCCGGAGAAGAAATTGCAAGAGAGGAGGGAGATGCTGGGAGAGGAGGAGGGATAATGACTGGTGGGACCGGATCTCGGTGTGTTTTACTCTGAAAGCAGGAGTACTGGCTGATTAACAGCCCTTAAAAAAAGAGTTTGCAGGAGAGGGACTGTCTGTCTTTATTGTGCTGCTCACTGCCTTAAGCAAAATCATTCCAAGGGCCATTTCGTTTAATCCCCAACCTTTTAGAGGGCTGCAGGTAAGGGAGGGCTGCGTAGATACTGATGCCAGGTGAGTTGCTGGAGGTCTCTCTGGCAAGGCGCGATGCTCACCGGTGTGCTGGGGAGGTGGTGTTGCTGCAGGTGGGGTTACCTGTAGCTCTGGATTTGTCAGGAGGTGAGGATGGGCAGGCAGCGGTCTGGGTTCCTCCTGGTTGGGGTCCCCCGCTGGCAAAAGGAATGTGGTCTTAGCGTAATGTAATGACTGGAGTCTAATTGCCCAGCAAATGGATTTGCTGTATGCAGGACAGGAATGGGAAAATGAAGATGATCCATCATGTCGGGTTTGTAACTAGCCTTATAACCACCTAGCTTGGATTCACCCGAGTTTCTCTGAAAGCTTTCATGCCTCAGTGCCTTGCAAAATGCATGACAAAAGAGGCCATTCAGACGAGTGCAATTCCACTTTCCCTTCATCCTAGCAATAACATTTTAGCATCGCTGGAATAATGTTGTCTTAAAAGAGTGGGAAACGCTTTAATCATTGCACCCAAGCTGATCGCACTCACTTGGCTTTGCTCTTGGGCCACGCTGTGTCAGGGGCAGGTTGCACGGGTGGGCTGGGGACAATGTGTCCCTCCTTTTCATCAGCCCTTGGTCCTGCACGTCCTGCTTAAAACTAGGAGAGGAAACTAAATTTGGAGGACTGATCTCCTCTGTAAAGCCTGCTGAGGTTGAGCAGTGCATGACAGAGGGGAAAACCTGCCAGGATTTAGTTACAATACTTGACTACCCCCGTCACCCCCCGGGCAATGTGAGTGTGAGAAGATGCTGGTGAAGCTGGGAAAGGCGCCTGGGATGGTTGGCAGGTGGGGAGGCCGGGCTCCCCCCGGGGCTTCTGCCAAGGCTGGCTGCTATTTGATTCCCTTAGTTATTTCTGGGCAGGAGAGCGTGCAGCTGAGGCTCTCGGCTCTCCACCAGCTTGCTGGGATGCCTCCAGCACCTGGTGGGATGCTCAGCCCTGGGTCCCCCAAAGTCCGCTGCCTCAGCATCTCCTCCCGCTTGTTAACCCGTGACAGCGGGGGGCCGAGGAGAACCTCTAACTCAGCAAGTCCCGCAGTCGTCCTGCTGATGAGCGACAGCCCCGAGCGGTGCTGGCTCAGCACTCGGAGCCTGGCCGGGTGCAGGATTTTGGGGCTAAAGGCCTTGTGTGCTCCCTGATTCAGCAGCTCGGTGCCGCCGTGATGTGGAGGGGCTGGTGGCTGGGGGGGTGCTGAGCAGAGCGCCTGTGACATGGGGACGTGCACGTGTCGGGAGGGCAGAGGGTGGGCTGAAATCATAAGAGCATGGGCGTAGTGCACGGGGCTGTGCTTTCTGCTCAAAGTCCCCTTGCTCCTTCCCTCCAGCTCTGTGCCTTTCTCAGGAGGCAGGGGCTGTGCTCTCCATCCCCTGGGTTCACCGTGCTCAGAAAGAAAGATGAATGATTGATGGGGAATTTCATGTGCTTCTGCCCCCCAACCCCTCTTTGCTATGTGCAACTTTTGCTGAGCTGGTAAATGCACGGTAAATAGCTTGTGCTTCGGGAGCAGGGTGGGTATGCCTTTACAAACTTACTGAGAAACCCTGCTCGTCTGAGGACTTGCAGATGGTGACTCCCAAATGCTGGGATTTCAGTTAAATACCATGGAGGAGAGGGTGATTGCTGGAGACACCCAAATCTCTTGGCAGCGTCGACTGAGTCCCAAGTTCTGCCAGGGAGTGCATGCATGGAAGCAGTCTTGCTCGGGCACTTGGCTGGCTGTTGGCCGTGCTGTTGGATATTAGAGGATCCCAGTCTGGCTCTTGGCACTGAACAGGAGAGCTTTGCTGTCTGACAAATTTCTGATGGTGTGGTTTGACTTTCTGCAATGCATAACTCAGATTATGCTTTCCCAGGGTAAGCTGGAGCATTTCCAGGGTAGACTACGTTGAGCAGACCACCTCCTCTGCTTGCAGGAGAGGGCACAAAGAATTTGAGAGGAAAGCTGATTTTTTTTTTTTTTTTTTTTCTTTCCTTAGGAAACCCACACCAGCTAAGGGACTCTGAAACATAGGGCTGTTTCTCCATCAAGGTCTGAGGGGCAGAGCTAAACATTGTTTTTTGATACCTACTTCTCCAAAATGAGCTGTAGACGACATTTCCCATGGAGTTGTGGCTCTTGCTGTGCAGCCTGAGCTGTTGCAGCCTAAGAAGAACCAGGGATAGTGGAGTACAGCTGCAGTGTAGGTGTACTTTGTTGGTTGGTGGTGATGAAAGCTATTAGGTTGGTGTGTGTCACCTCTTGCCTTTCAGGGCCTTCTGGGGCAGAGAGTTGTTTTGCAAGAGGCCTGGAAGAGGAGCTTGGTGTTTAGCTGGTGCTCGCTGGTAACCCTGCCCGTGGGTCTGAGGCAGCACGGCCCTCTGATATTTGTGGATGACTTGACTTGATTCTCCATCCTAGGCGAGGACAAGGCCAGAGGGCTTTTCTTTTCCAGTCGGGGAAGGCTGCCATCCTCTGTGTGCTGTATCTGTGCTTTCCAAAGCAATCATCTCTTCCACTCCAGCCTTTCGCTGCAGTGCTCTGGTCCTGGGCAGCCAGCTGCTTTGGCACCCGGGTAAGGTCCCTGGGGGTGCCGGGCTATTCAAGCTGCTGCTGGAGATATGGTTATCTGTGTGTGATTGAGCACTGGCTGTCTCAGCTAAACCCTGCCTGCTGGTTTGATCCCACAGCTGAAGACAACTGCGGTGGCTGGGCTCCTGCATGATGGCGCTTGCCTAATGCATCACTGGGAAAAAAAAAAAAAAAAAAAAAAAAAAAGAGATTCTGGCTCTAGTCTCTGCATACTTCTGGATTGATTAAATTGTTTCGGAGTGGTCTGGGCCAGATATCAGTGCATGAGGCTTGTGGGCCATCTGTTGGGGACAGCTTTGGATGGGGGACTGTGGACATCCCTTTGGTGTCTCCTGGCCTCCCTCCTCGCTTGCAGGGGCACGCAGCTTTTGCTGGAGAGGGGGGGTTGCCCTAGCA